ATATAAATACACACACACACACACACACACACACACACACACACACACACACCAGTTGGAAGAGTTTTCATTGATCTGAAAATTAGCTTATTTTACTTTCATTTCTGGTAGATTTTCCTTTTGCTAAAAATACAGTTCAAGTTGGCATCTGTTTTCTCAATGTGTGTGCTAAGTTGCTTCAGTCATGTCAGACTGCAGCGCTATGGGCTATGGGCTGTAGCCCACCAGGCTCCTGTGTCCATGGGATTCTGTTTCTTCTGTGAGTCTATTTCTGTTTTGTAAACAAGTTCGTTTGTATCATTTTTTAAAGATTCTTATTAGTTTATCAATATCTTTAGTTATTTTGTAGCCCAGCAGACTTTGTTGGTGTAAGTGGAAGAACTGGTCAGGGTATCTTGTATCCAGACTGTTGGAATCACAAACTTTCCACTGTCTTTTCATTGTTATCGCAACAGTGATCATGTGTAAACATAGTCTCATTTACAATGATGCAAAAGATGTTACTTTGGGAAAATATGCTTCCTTTTCTTGTTGCCATAGCAAAGTTCTTGAGAGAGGGTGAAAAACAACAGAATCAAAGAACCAAGGTCACCAGGGAGAGACAAAGGATTAAAAGCAGGCAAGTGGGAGGCAGGCTGTAATAACTCCTGAGCCGGAAGCGGTGAGCTCCCCCCAGTTNTAGCAAAGTTCTTGAGAGAGGGTGAAAAACAACAGAATCAAAGAACCAAGGTCACCAGGGAGAGACAAAGGATTAAAAGCAGGCAAGTGGGAGGCAGGCTGTAATAACTCCTGAGCCGGAAGCGGTGAGCTCCCCCCAGTTGGATGGACTTCCGTGGTCAGGACAGGTGCATCTGAAGAGGCTTGGGAGGATAATGCTGGACATTAGCAAGGCTCTAAATTTAGATCTCTTTCCAGAAATGACACGCATTTAAATTGCGTTCTTAGACCCATCAGATACTGTTGATGAAAACTAATTGTTTGGAAACTCATTTTTCTAGATGTCTGCATCAGAACTCTATAACTCAACATGGACTATTAGACTTGTATTTCTGCCTGAAAATCCAACCAACTTTGAATGTTTTGCTTCCTGGTTCAAAGCTTGAACTTTGCTCTTTTCATTGAATGCCCCAAATGGTAGATTAATATTAAATGTTAACCAACCCTCTATTGCTTATATTTTAAAGTGTAGTTTGATAAGAGCTTTTCTCTAACCTATCCAGTGAATGCACTTCAACTGTGAATGAATTCCATGAATATGTGTTCTATTCAACAATTAGTAGGATCTGAAAGAAGTAATTTCTTCTCTGTCAAGTCGTTTCCACTAGTTGGTCAAATCCTATTGATTTGACTTCTGTATGTGATTTGTGGCTCCATGTAATTTGGGCCTTTGGATCTCTTTTCATTTAATTTTAAAGTCTTCTGGGAATCACTTCTCTCTTGTCATGCATTACTTGAGAGTTATGCAGAATAATTTTCCATTTTGATGAATGAACCAGGTAGGGAAAACAGTCAGGAAGATTCCAATCTCTACTAAGCACTGTTCACACCTGGAGAAGAGAAAAACAGAATATGTGTTTCTTTCTTGGCATTTTATAATTTTCCCCAAATGTATTAGTGGCAGTTTCTGAGCCATATTTATTAATTTCTCATGAAAATCCAGTCAAAATATTTTGATCTTACCAGTAGTCTTTCAAGATTTGCTGTTCTTTTAATAAGCCCTTATGACTATGTTTTGATAAGTGAAGATGAATGATTGTTCTAAGACAAATTCACTTTTATCTGTTGTTTTTTTTTTCTTCCCAGATTTAAGACATGAGTTTGCACAAATTGTGAGAGATAGTGAAGGACAGGGAAGCCTGGCGTGGTGCAGTCCATGGGGACATAGAGAGTCAGATATGACTTTGCAACTGAAGAACAAGACTATGTAAATAAGTGTATGAGGGACTTCTGTGATGCTCCAGTGGCTAAGTCTCCACACTCCCAGTGCCAGGGGGTCCAGATTCAATCCCTGGTCAGAGAACTAGATCCCACATGCCACAGCTAAGAGTTCACATGCCGCAACAAAGATGGAGCATATAAGATCCGGTGCAGCCAAATATTAAATATTTAAGTGAACTATTCAAAAATAATAATGATACATAAAGTGCAGTATGTGATAAAGTCTTCCAGTTATAAATATAATAGTTAATATATTGTTTAACTTATTCCTAACTGATAATCAGAAATTTTACTGATAGTTTTTGATTCTACTTTTGAAGATCTGCAATAGAAAGAGGTATGATCCTGAATTCGAGCTGATGTAATAAGACTCTGACGTTAGCTAATAGAAACATTTAAATAGTGTTAGTCACTCAGCTGTGTCTGACCCTTCTCGATCCCATGGACTGTAGCCCACTAGGCTCCTCTGTCCTTGGAATGCTCCAGGTAAGAATATTGGAGTATTCCCTTCTCCCTTCTCTGGGAGATCTCGACTCAGGAATTGAACCTGCATCTCCTGCATTGCAGGAGATTCTTTACCATCCAAGTCACCAGAAAAGTCCCAAAATATACAGAATTTTAAGTAAGAGTAAGACAATAATGTATGTTCGCATATCTCAGTTTTCCTTTTCCTTGTCAAAGTGTTAGCTGCTCAGCCAGGTCCAACTCTTTTCAACCTCGTGAACTCTAGCCCTCCAGGCTCCTCTGTCCACGGCATTCTCCAGGCAAGAATACTGGAGTGTGTTGCCATTCCCCTCTCCAGGAGATCTTCCCAAACCAGGGATCGAACCCCAGTCTCCCTCATGGCAGGCAGGTTCCCACCATCTGAGCCACCCCGGAAGCCATAGAAACGTTTAGTACCCCTGTTATTTCACTAGGGGGCGCTGTTGGTCCTTCATTACTCAGTGAGGCAGCTGAGGAATCAGCCCTGTCTGTGAGGCTCCTTTCTGATTGTTTCATTATCATGTCAAGCTCAGCACAACTATGAACAAACTCTCTAATCCTTCAGAGAGGCAGTAAAGAAGCTCTGAGAAAGAAGCTTATAAACTCAATCAGATACCTTGGAAACTTCTAAAGCATGTTCAGCTGGCTTCAGGCCCATCATCAAACACTAACTACTCTAATACAAAAAGTAAAAATTATAAAAATTCCATACAAGAAATTCATTAAAGTTGAAAGGCATTGTAGGTCAAAAGGGACATAGTAAATGGTCTCAAAATTGCTTATTAAAGAAAGAACGGCCATGAAAATGTTGTCAGTTAACCAGGTTTTTCTTTTTTTTTCCCTATTCAGTTCAAAGAATCTGGATATTCCTAATCCTCACAGCTTGACGATGTGAAAGCGTTCCTATGCTCACCTAGATCTGAATTTCCAGTGGCTTGCTAGACCATTCTGTCCCTTCAGAATCTTAGTTCTGGCTTCTTCTGGGGTCCAAATGGCTACAGAAGCGGGGAGCAAACATCCCCCCCACCCCATCCCACCCCTTACCCTCAGCACAGCAGAGAGCTTTCACTCCCAGGATGTCCTTCCAATACTCTGGCCATGTGATGCAAAGAACTGGCTCATTGGAAAAGACCCTGATGCTGGGAAAGACTGAGGGCAGGAGGAGAAGGGGACGACAGAGGATGAGATGGTTGGATGGCATCATTGATTCCAGTGACATGAGTTTGAGCAGACTCCAGGAGGTAGTGAAGGCCAGGAAGCCTGGTGTGATGCAGTCCATGGGTCTCAAAGAGTCAGAGATGACTGAGCTACTGAACAAAACAGTTGCTTTACAATGTTGTGTTAGTTTCAGGCGTAGAACAAAGTGAATCAGCTATACATGTCCACGTTTTAAAAAATTCTTTCCCCATACACTACTATATATAAAGTAACTAACAAGGACCCACTGTATAGCATGGAGAACTCTTACTTCTCTTTTCCTCTTTTCTTGCTGTTATCAAATTCCAGCTCCTCAGAAATATCACCCAGATAATCTGCTGATAAGCAGACCAAGTTGTGTTTCTTCTTATTGTGGGGGTGAGCGAGGAAGGGCCTGGGTTGGGGTGGGGGGAAGAATCGAAGGGACGAGGCCAAAGCTGGGATCCTCACTGAGATTCCGACGTCCGGTTAAGGTGGGTTTTCATGTGAAGGAGTCTTGATGAAGTTCGGGTGAGCGCACCAGATTCACCATTAGGATTGTTCGACACAGCAGCTAAAGCTTCAGAGGCAGGGCTTGACAGTGGCTTGGGGTGTAAATTATCTACAGTGTTCTCTGTTGAAAAGCCGATGGTCTTTCAGGAAGATATGGGAAGACCAAGGAATCTGTAGCTTTCTGAGCAGGCGCTTCCTGGAATAGTAAACACACTCAGGAGAGCAGTGGAGTCACATCGATGCAACGAGCTGGGCGGGAGGAGACAGGTCCTCCTGAGACAGTGTGGGTCTCAGTCCCAAAAGAGCCTGGCGTGGAAGAGCCTGGTTCCGACAGGTGTGTGGCCCCAGTGCCCGCTCTGCACTTATTCCACAGGCATCTGGGGCTGTCTACCCAGCCCCTGTGCCCGGGAGATAACTCAGCCTTGCATTTCACCTTATCAGATTGTCTCCTGAGCACTCAGAGGACCTGAGCATTCCTGGAGCTGGAGGTCACATGGGAGAGGCTGGGGTGAGGAGCAGGGGTTTCTAGAAGCTCCAGGAAACAGCAGACTAGTGGGAAGGTGCATGCACGCTAAGTCACTTCAGTCATATCTCTTTGTGACCCCAGGGACTGTAGCCCTCCAGGCTTCTCTGTCCATGGTATTCTCCAGGCAAGAATACTGGAGGGGGTTGCCATGCCCTCCTCCAGGGGATCTTCCTGACCCAGGGATCGAGCCTACCTCTCTTATATCTCCAGCATTTGCAAGCAGGTTCTTCACCACTAGTGCCACTTGGGAAGCCCAGTGTGCAGATACTGAGTCCTGAATACACACCAGCCCTCCTTACACGAACTCAGGGAGAACTCTGCTGGGGAGAACTCTCCCTGGGGAGAAAGCCTAGGAGAAACATCCAGAAGGAGCCTAGAACAGACTCCCAGAAGGAACCCAGAAAGAAGCTTCCTCATTTCCTCTCTCAGGGAACCTCGAGGAGCAAAGAGAGGAATAGCTGCTCTCCACCCACTACCATCTCTGGGGGGAGAAAGTTCTAGAAAAGCACCAACAGTGATATCAGTGGTATAGTCTCCAAGTTGGCACGGCTTTGGTGGCAGCTCCGGATGAGAATCCGGGTGGTCTTCTCAGGAGGCCCTGGTGGGGGAGTGCTGAGTGGTGTGCGTGGACCTGGGGTGCAGAGAGGGTCTGGAGGAGCAGGTCCCCAGGAGCCATGCAGGTGAAGAGGGGCCCAGGCTTCATGGTAGGGCGAGGCTGAAGACCCCAGGGTCCTCAGGCAGTCCCAACCCCAGACTCTCTGTGGTCCTCAGACAGCCCTGGCAATCCAGGGACCCACCTGCCCCCCAGTGGCAGCATCCATCAAGAAGCAGCCAGAGGCCAGAGATTCCCCCAGCAACACCTCAGACCATATCCCCTGAACCCACGTTAGCTTGACTTTGCCTGGATCAAATCCCCAAAAAGCCCACAGCCTCCCAAATCCCACTTGACCTTAACGAATATTTTGGAAAAGACAAGTTGGAGTGAAAAGACAGGATGCTCTTGGGCCATTGCAGGTAAATCATCTCAAGTGCGTGAGATGGATGTCATTTAGGACCCTGTGACGACAGTGCGGGTCCCTTTCAGGCCTCGTGGGGACCACGGTGAGGAACCTGCAGGCTCATCGCATCTCCAGGGGAGTCTCCTCTGCTGGAAGGGACAGAGCATAAAGGGAAACAGAGGAAAAGATGAATATTTCCTCCCAGGGGAAGCTTCTACTCATTAAACTTCAGATCTGTTCTCTGTTTAGAGGAAGGATTAACTTTTTTTGAAAAATAAAGTAAATAATAAGTAGCCACATAGTACTAAATTAAACTTTGCTTATAAAACCTTCACCATCAAAAACTAGATTTTGAGCAGGTTAAAAACATGGAAATGATGTGTGCAGGATATGAGTCTCTACACATCTGGACATTTAAGTGCTGGTTGTTGCCTTCTGTTTTCAGTCTTTCTGATCTTTCGTCACTTAGCAGGTTATTGCTGTAGTTTTTGTTCTTGTTTTTTGCTTTATGGTATAGTTAAAAAAAATTTTTTTTCTAAAACTACTCTGGGGTAGCACGTACAGAATATCTCATAACGGTTTCAGAGCACAGTCTTGGGCAAAATAAAGTCATCTCAGGTTAATTAAGAAATTTAGAAAATTCTTCCATGGACATCTCTCTGCCCTGAGACGAAGGGTTATAATTAAGATAGATTCAGTGTCATTAGGATTATTTGAAATGCAAGCTCTTCAAAAACTAAAGATAATAAAGTCAGTAGGGAGAAAACACTGTGTGTTTAACTCATTTATGGAATGAACTGACCTTGATTGGGACAAGGAAAAAGGAACTTTTTTGCTCTCCCCACTCTGTCTTCACACATGCACACTTGATCCCTATTTCCAAGGTCTGGGTATGCCCCTAAGCTGATCCTAT